GTTAGAGAACTACTCTCTGGACTCCCTGGCGGCCCAGTGGTTAGGACTCTGCTTCCACTGCAGGGTGCCTGGGTTTGATCCCTGGTTGGGGAACTAGGATCTCTCATGTAGCTAGACAAACAAAAAAAGAACTACCCTTAACTCTAACACACCTTCTCCATCACAAAGAAAGGATGTCCTTTCTACTCCTGAATGGTCCTCAGACCTGCCGCTTCCTCTCCAGTCCTAATGTCTCCCTTGAAACCTGGCCTTGAATTCCTCTATTGGATCAGGGCTACAGCCGTTGATTTCCTTCTGTTCTTGTGTACAGTGAGTGGTGACAGGACCGTCTGCTATGTTGCAGATATTAAGGGTGAATCTTGGTAGCCAACCTAGTGTGGTGTGGGTGGAGAGCAGTGGGAATCATAAGACTGAACCAAAAATAACATAGCCAGAGCTATTTTCTCTTGGGCAAAATCACATAAATTTCATGGATAAAAAAGTGATTTATGGAGAGGGAAATGGCAACCTACTCCAGTATTCATGCCAGGAGAACTCCATGGTATGAATGGCTGTAGCTGAGCAGGCTACAGTCCATGGGGTTGCAAAGAGATGGATATGACTTAGCAACTAAACAATTGTATATATAGCACAGGGAACTATATTCAATATGCTGATAAACCACAAATAATATTTTAAAAATAATATATGTATGTATGTGAATCACTTTGCTGTACAGTAGAATTTAACACATTATAAATCAACTGTATTTCAATAAATTTTTAAAAGTGATTTATTCCTAAGCAACTCTTTTACCTAGCTAAAAGAGAAACTTTAAAAGACAAAGCAGATAAGGCTTTTTTCTGAAGATCTAAAGACCATCCTTTGCTTGGTTGCTGTAGATACGGCAGCAAACCCTGATATTGACTGTACCTTGCTTGCTTGCTAAGGCGCTTCAGTCATGTCTGACTCTGTACAACCCCATGGACAGCAGCCCACCAGGCTCCTCTCTCCACGGGGTTCTCTAGGCAAGAACACTGGACTGTAGCTTACCTTCAAAGATTTCCCAAGAAATAAATGTTTCATATATTTATTATTGCATCATAGTTACTTCTCACTCCTAATTTTTAAGAAAGTGAGTTTGCGTTTCAAATTCTTTCTTCATGCATGAATTGGTATCACTATGCTTCTGATTTTGGTTATTGGGTCTTTTTTCCCATTTTTAAGCAAAACCAAATGTTTCCAATTATTGAAAAAGATTTTGAAATATGTAACATCTATATTATTGTATCAAGTGAAACTCCATACTATGTTTTACGCCTATGTTCTGTGCCTCTGTCTCCCACATCGGCCTATGTTCTGTGCCTCTGTCTCCCACATCGGCCTATGTTCTGTGCCTCTGTCTCCCACATCGGCCTATGTTCTGTGCCTCTGGCTCCCACATCGGCCTATGTTCTGTGCCTCTGTCTCCCACATCGGCCTATGTTCTGTGCCTCTGTCTCCCACATCGGCCTATGTTCTGTGCCTCTGTCTCCCACATCGGCCTATGTTCTGTGCCTCTGTCTCCCACATCGCACTCCCCCAAACTTTCCGTTCTCCCTGCCTTTGCTCTTGTTTTTCCATCTGAAATACTCAGTTCTCTGCCTCCAAAATCACCACTGATTCAGCTCAAACATTACCTCATTTGAGCCACTTTCTCTGCCTCCTGTCCTCGGCACCCACAGTGCTCACCTTCCTGCCAACCTTTGGAGCAGTTTTTGTGTTCTCTACAAGCTTAAGATCCAGCAGAATTTCTAGGACAAAGCACCTACAAATGAAATGCTGAATGAAGGAATGAATGGTATTAAATACACCCTGCAATCTGAATGACAATGGTGAGAAATTCATAGAAAGTCAACTGAAGCCAAAAAACAACAGTTGATTACAATTGGACATGGGTTACTTTTACTTTTTAGCTACTATGAATAATGCTGCTTTGAACATTTTTGTACAATTTTTGTGGATGGGTACTTTATCTTGGGTGTATACCTAAGGAGTCAAAGTGCAGGATCACATAACTGTGTTTAACTTTCTTTTATTGAAGAAAGTTGATTCACAATGTTAGTCTCAGGTGGACAGCACAGACTCAGTTATACATATATACATATATACTCCACATATACACACACACATATATATGTATGTATACATATATATGTATATATATATTTTCAAATTATTTTCCCATATAGGTTATTATAAGATATTGATTAGAGTTCTCGGTGCTATACAGTAGGTCCTTGTTGGTTATCTATTTCATATATAGTAGTGTGCATATGTTAATCCCAAACTCCTAATTTATCCCTCCTCCCGTCTCCTCCTTTGATAGGTGTTTAACTTTTGAGTAACTGTTAAGACTGCCTTCCTAAGTGGCAGCACCGCTCTAGAATCCCACCAGCAATGCATGAAACCTGCAGTTTCTCCACACCCTTGCCAGCACCTATCTTGCTGTTTGATTAACTGGAGTATTATTTACAATGTTGTGTGAGTTTCTGCTGTATAGCAAAGTGAATCAGCTGTATGTGTACATATATCCACCCTTTTTTAGATTCTTTTCCCATAAAGGCCATCACAGAGTACTGAGAGTTCCCTGTGCTATACAGTAGGTCCTCATTAGTTATCTATTTTATCTTACTATCTTGTTTATTATAGCCATCCTATGGGTGTGGTATCTCCTTTTTTACTCTACCTCTCAGTAACGAATGTCAAGCATCTTTCCACGTGCTCATTGGCCATTTGTATATTTTCTTGGAGAAATGCCATTTCAGACCCTTTGGCCACTTTTTGTCTTTTTATTGATAAGTTGTACTAGATTTCCTCTTTCTTAATACTTATAATCACCCAGCTAAAGCAGGTAGTTTCATCTTAATTCTGTAGATGAAGAGACTAGAGCCTGGAGTTCCAGAGAGAGACATGGCAGAATCCACGACCGTGACTCTCTGTAGCCCGTGCTTTTCCACCACATTATACTGCTTTTTGGTGATGATGAGATTTAGTGTGTGGTTAATGCGAAGAAGAACATCACTGGAATTGAGGCTAGGGTGTTAGAAACATTACTGACTGATTGCTCAAGTCAGTGGTGGCAGGCCTGATTTGCACATAAAATAAAAATGCTGGATTTCGACATGATCTCTGAGATTCCTTCTTACTCTGAAATTCTGTGATTTAATAAGCCTTTTTGTTTCGCCAGCATCAAAACAGCAACAATCACGGGCAGCCAAGGCCTTGAGTGTCAGGACAAAAGGAAGTACCACCCACTGACCAACATCCCTTGAGAGCCCAGGACTGGACCCTCTGGGAACCAGTCTCAGTTTATTAGTGAAAGACACTTGATCTGCTACCATCAGCTTTGGAAAAAAAATAAAAGGCAGCATCTCCTACTGAGAGTTTTCTTTAACACAAATATGAAAACCCGAGTCCTTTCCTCTGTCGTTTGTACATTAGAATGATGCTATTCTAAGCCATTGTTGTTCAGCCACTAAGTCGTGTCTGACTCTTTGTTACCCCATAAAGAGTAGCATGCCAGACTTCCCTGTCCTTCACTATCTTCCGGTTTGCTCAAAGTCATGTCCATTGGATCAATGATGCCATCCAACCATCCCATCCTCTGCTGCCCCCTTTTTACCTCCTGCTCTCAATCCCAGCATCAAGGTCTTTTCCAATGAGTTGGCTTTTCCTATCAAGTACAGATACTTTTGTATCAAGGCTTTTTGTATCAAGTCTTTTCCTATCAAGTACTGGAGCTCCAGCTTCAGCATCAGTCCTTCAAATGAATATTCTGGGCTGATGTCCTTTAGGATTGACTGGTTTGATCTCCGTGCTGTCCAAGGGACTCTTCAAGAATATTTTCCAGAACCATAATTTGAAAGCATCAATTCTTTGGCACTTAGCCTTCTTTATGGTCCAGCATTCACATCTGTACATGACTACTGGAAAAATCATAGCTAAACCATACTAAGTCAAGACCAACTGAATTCTCAGAGGCTGTCTAGGTATGTTCACAACTACTTTGCCCTAGATGCACAGTTATTTGCTGAAAAAAGGACAGAGATGAAAAAAATGGGTATGACTTTAGTGCCATCATCTCATATTCTCTTTCCTGCTTCCTCCAAGACAATCTCAAGGGATGCATTTAGGAAACTTTTCATAAATGTATAGCACTGCAGAAACCATGAAAAGGTAAGTAAACAGAGTCATCAACAAAGTATAAATGTGGTTTTAACAAGAAATTATAGAAAGCTCAAACATAACATTTTCAATTATGTTTTATTGAAAAATAGCTAATTTAAAATATATACATTTAAAAAACAAAAACACAAAGTACTGGTAAAATACTGAATTTTTCACTCACTCTTGCCAAAGTGGCATCTTTATGTTCCCAGATGATTATTCTGCTTAAGAGGAGGGTCTCTGGTGCCCTCTGGTGACACTTCCTGAGACTGCTGTCCAGAAAGGAACAAGGGCCCCTCAGCCCAGAGCTGAGAGAACGGAGGCCAGTTCATGTCTGACTGGCCTGTGTTCCGTGGCCTTTGCCCCCCTGCCCAGGAGAAAGGCAATCTTAGAGGGTGTCTTGACCTCCCCGGGGGGAAGTATTCCTCCCTTAACACTCAGCCAAACTGACAGCAAAAATAAACACTTTACTTATTGTCACTGTCTTCTTAAAAACACAAAAACAAACAAACAAAAAACCCCTATCATTATAAACTCCAAAATAATGTGGGAAAGTCTCTAAGTAATTCAGGTTATAATCCAGACCAAAAAAAAAAAAAAATCAAATAATTAAAAAAAAACCCAAATCACTTAACAGGACAGCAAAACCCATAAATCTTAGGATGCAAAAAAAAAAAAAAGTTGATTCTTCCCTCTGTCTTCATAACAACGGACACCAACACTCTGGACAACACTGTGCTGGGAGTGGATGACCTTCTTGAATTTCAGGAAGCAGACCTACTCCAAACCTGTGCCACTCCTTAAATGTAACATCAGCAGAGCCTAAGTTCGTTCTCTAGGCCAAACACTTTGGACTTGAGGTTCCTCAGTTCTCCCTGTATCTTGTGTGCCAGTCGATTGCTATCACGAACCTCACAGAGAATGGCAAGATCCTGGTTTGCCTGGGCGTTGAGTGTGGCCTAGAGATTAAAAAAAAAGAAGTGATTATGGCAGATGCCAAAGGAGAGAAACCTGGCATGAAGCCCCAACTACACCAGCTCCTTTCTCTGATACTCTTAGTTCACAGAGTAGATTCAATGCTTAGTCTAGAGACTTGCTGAGAGAAGGCAAATGTAGTTAGGGCAGAAAAGGCTCGAGACCACTGCTTCCCCACACGACAGGAGAGGAGCCTGAGTCAGAGGACAATCAACAATCAACAGTGAGTAAAAAGACACCAATACAGACATTATTAGTAAACGTGCCAAAGCATGAAAGGCAGCATCTCTTTGTTTCTGTATGAACCTGCTTGGCACAGAGTGACCGCTCAGGGTGTGTGGATGGACAGTTACATCTCTTTAAGATGACGCTGGAGGCACCTCGCATTCTATGTGAAGCGGTCTCTCACAGGGAAGAAGTACTTTCTAACCTAGTTACTCACTTTCTCCATTTGTAAAACAGACAATTTTTTTTTCTTCTTCTTTTGGCCAGGCCATACAGCTTGAGGGACCTTGGTTCCCTGATGAGGGATTGAACCCGGATTCTGGCAGTGAGAGCGCAGAGTCCTACCCATGGGACCCCCGGGGACTCCCCACAGACACGGCTCTTTGAACCCACTCCTTGAGTGGGGAGGGATGAATACTTGTGCTGAGCTGACATCGTCCTTCAGTCGCTTCAGTCTGTCCTGTCTCCCTCTGGCACGCCCGCCCTGTTTACACTGACTTCAGCGAGACCAGGAGGACGGTGATGCGGCCCAGCCTCCCTCAGAGGGGCGCCGTACCGTCTGCTCACCCACACCTCTTCTCCCTCCTGGTCATGCAGGATCAGTTACCTTATAGAGTATCTGCTCCACATCTTTTAGTTTTTGCCGGAGAATCTTAATGTCTGTCTTAAAGCCTTCTACCTCCAAGACACGCCGGGTCTCCAAGGCCTCGTAGCGCTTAGTCATGGCCTGCAGGCGTCTCCCCATCTTGCTGGTGCGGTCCTATACACGGGGAACAGGAAGGCCTCTGTGAGCAGAAGGGGCACCCCTAGCCAGCTGCCCCTCCATGACAGGCGGAGAACCCCACACCTTAAAGATCTCTCTCCTCACTCCTTCCTCCTCACGAATCCGGGCCAGCTCTTCTTCCAGGGAAATGCACTGCTCTTGGTACATGCTGGACAGCCCTCTCTCTTGTATGAGCTTGCCCTTTAGGGACTGTGGGTCAGAAGGAGAGAAAAATTCATCTTTGTTCTTTAACTTGGGTAATCCAAATAGCACTGAGGTAAAGAAAGAAAGGATTTCTAGAAGTGCTAAATCAGTGAAGGAACAAGACATCAAGGAGAACATCTGAAAACCTACTTCTGGAGGATCCTCTAGCTTTTTTCTTAATGTGTACAGAGTAGGAAAATCTTATTTTTTTCCTTTTTGTATTTTTAGAAGTTTTTAAAAATAAAACAAATATTTTTGGCTCTTGGAAGAGTCAGATAATGGAGTTCATAATTGTACCAAATAAGACATCACAACCTATTTGGGGATACGCTTAAGTTTTTCTTTGAAAAGAAAGAAAGAAAGAAACATCAACAGCACTTAAAACACATGTTCCATTGAGCGGCCAGGATTCAAAAATCCCAACTTGGATGTCACTTCCTTACACAGAATCCTTCCAAGACAGGACAACGCTCAGAGCTACGCACCCTTGGCAGGAGCGTGACGGCCGCCCTCCCTCCACTCTCCGTGCACACCCCTCACGGCCACATGCTCCCTCACGCCTGCTCTCCCCTGCCTGATGCTCTTCCCCGAGGTCTGCCTGGCAAGCCCCATTCTCCGGGTCTCAGCAAAAATGCCAGACTCCAGATGGTGTCCCAGTGCTTCTCGACAAAAGCAGACCTCAAACAGCAACATACAATCTTCACAGAACCCTTCTAATTCTGTAACACCACTTTTTTTCCTCCCTAAATTTAATGTATTTTGGCTGCACCACCTGGCTTGTGGGATCCCAGCTCTCTGACCAGGGAATGAACCTGGGCCATGGCAGTGAGGGCCCAAAATCTTAACCACTAGGCCACCAGGGAACTCCCAGGACCACTTTTCTATAACCCATTCTTGGTTATTTGTTAATGTTTCTGGTCTTTCTCACCTGTTAGAATGAATGCCATGAAGACAGACCTGGTTTAGCCTGTCTGCTGCCGTACACTGAGAGTCCCGCCCACTACAGGACTTCAACAAATATCTGTTGAATGAATCTATCGATCAGTCGACACTTTAATGTTCTAAATCCCCAAACACAGTAACAAAGAGCTACTCTTTGAGAACTATTTCTTGAGATCATTGCTACAACAGCTTCCTGGACTGGATCTTATATGACAATGATTAGGTTCTTTGAAATTCTCCGAGTTCTTTCAACAATTCCAGAATAAAAAAAAATTCTGTAAGATAGAGGAAACTACCTTAATATATTCATTTTGGTTGTGATGACTCTCATGAACTAGCCACATTTTCCCCATTTTCTCTTCTTTCTTCTTACACTGCACCTTGTATTCCTTAATCTTTGACATCAAGTGATCCTTTTCAAGCATCCAGGACTTCTCCTTATTTTGGTTTTCAAATCTGAGTTGCAGAAAGTCTTTGGTGCTCTCGTAGAGCAGCTCCTGGGTGTGGTGGAGACTAGGGAAGAAAGTACAGACATGGACATGAAGATGCTTCCCCGGTACATGTGACAGTTACTCCGAACACAGCTAAGACGCAGTCCTTTAAAATCTGTGTAATATGTAGATTCTGTAAATACCATCAGCACTTTAAAAACATGCTACATCTGATCACTGGCAGTCTTACACGTTTTACTGAACAACGTATAAAGTATCTACACTGGTTCATAGACCGGTCTTTACAGGTATTTTTCTAGGTGCTAATTTCAGGTTATATAATTAGAAGGACCACAGAAATATTTACACACAGCCTAAGTATGGACTTTTCCAAGGCACCAGACTTTACAATAAACCAAGCCATGGGGTTCTGACTGAAGGTTAACACAAGTTCTAAAATGTCAGCACAGCTTTGCTTCTGTCCAGGTCGAGCTGCCCAAGAGCGAATCCTGCCTTTTTCCGAGACAGGCTTCCTTGGTGGAGGCAGTTCAGTGGCCTCGGCCCACGTGGCCCCTCCATTCTCCGAAACCCGAGCGCTTTCACTCTGTGCCCTGTGCTGTAGCGCGACACTTCTTACCTCATTTATCATTTATTTTTGCCAGATGCCACTAGATCGTCAAGGACAGTACCAGGTACTAGACATACACAGGTACTAAATAGATTCCTGCTGAGATTTGGGAATGGACAAATGACGTTTCTGTCTTCAAAAAAAAATTTCCTTAAGAGTTAGAAACTCATCAGTTTAACATCAGCAGCTAGAAATATACTGTATCAAATGATCACACTGCTTGCAAAGGGTATTAAATACCAAACTGCAGTTTTCCACTGAACACAGACGGTGAGATCCACTTAGTTCTTCTCATGAGTAATAGACTATATGGAGAAGGGGACAATGACTACATAATGTCAGAAGAGTAACTGTCATCAGATGAATATATTCAGGTACGTGTGTGTCTGTATAAACAGGGAGAGACTGACTCAGTTCCCACAAGGACCGCTCTTGCTTCCAACAGATTATTTTACTCTATCTTATGTTATGATCTCAGTTACAAAAAGGGAAAGCATGCTCTTGCAAATGGTCTCAAAGTGACACCTAACAGGCAGCCATTAACGGCCTTGGACCTCCTGCCGTTCAACACCCTCAGGATACCAATCTACTGGAAGGAGCACATCAAATGCTCACATCTGCAGAATACGTTGAACTAGGGAGGTTATTAATAATCTGACAGATGTAAAATTATACTTTATTCTGACAATTTAAAAATATTGTCCCCTTAAAAACAATTCAAATCCAATACAAAGTGGAGATGCTATGCTTAAGCACAAAACACCAAAAATAAAGATGGAGAGGTACCAGCCAAATGCAAACACGACATGATGTTGGAAGCAGCAGGGCCTGCCAAGGGCCAAGGGCATCTTCTACATGCACTGGTCAGTGAGTTCAACTTGAGTATCATGTCTAGTTTAGTGACCATGCTTTAGAATGCAGGAAGAGACACTAAAAAAGTTTGCGAAGCAATAAAAAAACCAACAGGATGAAGACTGCAAGGTGAAAAAGAATATATACACACACACTCCAGGGGATCTTCCCAACCCAGAGATTGAAACTGAATGCGGAGGCAGATTCTTTACCATCTGAGCCACCAGGGAAGCCCATATACACACACAATTTTTTTTGGCCGCACCACATGGCTTATGGAATCCTAGTTCCCCAACCAGGGATTGAAGCTGGGCTCTTGGCAGTGAAAGCTCCGAGTCCTAACCACTGGACCACCAGGGAATTCCTGTGAAAAAATATTTTAAAACGTAGGATGTTTAATGCAGGATAGAAAAGGTAAGATAAAGGTTATCAAGTGGTCAAGAATTATTTATTATGCACCTGTTCTGCACACAGGAAAAGACCTTGGGGAAGAGATATCATTAAAATAGAAGGTGAAAAGGCCCATCACTGAGTCACGCTGGTCATCACAGGCGATGGAGGGGAGACATGTAAGCAAAAGTGCACCCCTCCCTGGGAAGGTCAGAGAAGGGGTGACTGAAGGGCTGCATGAACCAAGGCCTCAGGAGTCCGGCTGAAGAATGAGGTGAGCTATAGCCAGAGGAGCAGAGACTGAGGGCCGAGACTCCCAAGGGCCGAGGCAGCAGGAGACACTCACAGGATGAAGCCTGCAGGGCACAAGGGGACTGGCGACAGGAAACACAGCTTGGTGACAGCAATGATTTAAACCAGAACACAGCTTGAGCCATTGTGGGAGGAATGAGAGGGCAGAGAACGGACAGGAGAGGCTTCTGGATTCACAGACAACGGGGTTTGGAATCAGAAATTGGAGAGTGGGGAGCAGAAAACAACCCTGAGTGTCCAAACTTGAGAAAGCACATGGATGGGACAGCACTGGGCTAAATGGGAAAGAATGGAGCAGCAGGTCTGAGGTGGGGAGGGGTGCTTGTCAGGAAAGAGGAAGTTGAGTTTCAGTCGTGGTGAATTTGAGGTTTTCAAACATACTCTATTGAAGACGTCTCTACAGCCCAGCTCTGGTCACTGGAAGTGGACAAACAGTTGAGGGTGAAATGGGAAAGAACCAAGAAAGACAGGTGCTGCGGGAACCAAGGGAGATGGATTTCAGAGAGGGGGTGGTCAGAGGCCCAGACACACAGAAAGACACGAATGAACTCAGTGATGACTTTAGATGGCATGCTGAGCAAAACAGGGAACAAGAGCAGACTGCAGAAAGTGGGGGATAGGCAGGCAGGAATGGTGTAAAAACAGCAATACAGATAGTTTCCATTTTCTGGTGCAGGTATGTAAAGTCGAAAAAGAGAAAAGGACTGTTATGCTGACTTAGATAACCCATCAGTGGAGAAAAGGACATTCCAGGACAGTAAGATCAGACTACAACCCTCAGAGGGGTTGAGGGGAGAGTGTAGAGCCCCCTGTCCTGTAGGAAAAGCATCAGATGAGCACACCAGGGAACTGGGAGAGAGGCGGGGGCGGAACTGCTGAGACAGCTCCTTCAGCACCAGGACCCTTGCTGCTACTGGACAGGACTGCCAGCTTGCAGGATCTTAGCTCCCCCACCAGGGATCGAACCTGCGACCTTGAAAGTGAGTGTGAGTGTCCTGACCCCTAGACCTTCCAAACCACATGGGAGACACGTGAAACCTGTCCAGTGTGGCTCGTGAGTATTCACCTTCTGGTGAGCTCTGTGATTCTGTCTCGGCTTCTCTGCTGATGAATCTCCACTTCCTCGATGCGGATCCGCCTCTCCTCCATGAGCCCTGCCACCTGCTCCCGCGAGAGCCGGGTCTGCTCCTCCAGCTGCGCCTGCAGCGCCTCCACCTGGACAGGCCGGAGGGGTGAGGCGTCCATTTCCGCTCTACTCTTGCTCACTTCTCACTTTTAACAGTGAGCCTCTCTCCAGAAAAACAAAAATCCCACGAACAAAAAAAAAACAGATGTGCAGCAGCAAAACAAACAGGAGAAAAATCTTGACTGGACTCCTCTTTACGTCTTACATGTGGTCTCAGGCCACACGAAAGCATACTCCATCCAACCAAGCAGAGCACCCATGTCACACCAGAAAGGCTGGACAAGCCCATCTCCCCTCTCCAAGACGCTCACCTTCTCACCATCTCTCTCTCTGGGCTTTTAAGACTGTCTCCCTTTTGGGACTTCCTAGTTGCATAGAGAAAGACTCATTTCTTCATTTTTAAATGTAAAAGGTGCAGCAAAATGAGTATAATGTGATTTCCTTGTCTGAGTCAGGCTGTCTTGACCCCACATGGCGACACTGGCCAAAGGTAGAAACTGTCCATTTACATTAACATGCCCTCTGACAAGGGCAGGAACTTGAGTGCAGTTAGATGAAAAATCACGGTTGTAGGTGACATATGATGACCAGATGGTGAGAGGGTGACTCATTACTTTCCTAGACTTTGGAATACATGCACCAGACAAATGGATGTACCCCCAAAGGTCACCGTTTTGGGACAGACAGCTGCAGCTCTGCGTGTCCCGGGCCAGCTGCACAGGGAGTTCTGACAGTGATGACTCTGGTGGCAGGGTTCGGCCTATAAGCTGAATGAACTGCAGGTTCACACCAGCACTTCTAGAATGGTGCAGTACAGAGTAATGGTTGTAAAGACAGAGCTCTGGGAAATTAGGAACAACCTCAAATTTCCAATCCCAAAATGCCCAGAGGAAACACGTGTGCCAGGAGGCATGTGGCACACGCTAATGAGGGCACAGGACCTGCTCCAGGCCCGTGTGCAGAGCGGCTGTAGTCGTACCTGGAGGGCGAGGGTCTGGATGTCTCTCTGATGCAGCCTAGTGCTGACCTCCTTTTCTCTCCCTGCTGATTTCCTCTTGCTGCCTTTAGAATCTAAAACAGAAAACAGTGCAGACCTTCACTTAGGTTTTCTTTCTGCTTTTCAAGCATCAACATTATCTTTGCAGAGAAGTTTGGTTTTCTTTATATGGAAGAGAAGGAAAGGAAGAAAAACGACAACATACAATAACTACAATGCTCAATTATGCAAAGAGGTATCTCTTAATGGAATTCTGTTAGGATGTCACCTGGATCTTTCTGAAGAATAAACTACTAAATTTTCCTTTGGAGTTGTATCTAATTTCTCTGTAAAATCTTATTTAATGAAAAAGGGTAATGAATTAAAAAAACTAAATCTAAACATTTTAGCTATGATGTATAACCCAATTTTCAATGGAAAAAATGATTTTAAAAACAAGCAATGCTAAAACTGCACTAAACATAATTTGATGATTTAGATGATTCAAGAAGCTTATTTATTCTTTTTATTGAGGTATAGTAATTTATATTTGTTTCATGTGCACAACATAGCAATTCAAGAATTTTATAGATTATACACTTATTATAAAGTACTGGCTATATTCCTTGTCCTGTACAATATATCTTTGTAGCTTATTTATTTTATACATAGTAGTTTGTTCCTCTTAATCCTTTACCCTTATTCTGCCCCTTCTCTTCCTTCACTCTGCAGGTAACCACTAGTATGTTCTCTACATCTGTGAGTCTGTTTTTGTTCTATACTCACTAGTTTATTTTTTAGATTCCACATAAAAGTGATACCATACAATATTTTTCTGACTTATTTCACTTAGCATTATGCCCTCTAAATCCATCCATACTGCTGCAAATGGCAAGACTTCATTTTTTTTAATGCCTGAGTAGTATTGCATTCATCTTCTTTAACCATTCATCTGCTGATGAACACTTGGGCTGCTTCCATATCTTGACTATTATTATTATAAACACTATTGCTATGAATACTGAGGTGCATGTTATTTTGAGTTAGAATTTTTGTTTCCTTTGTAAAAGCAGACCTCAAAAGTGCTTATCTCCACATGTGTAGTGACACATTAGCTAGACTTATTGCGGTGAATATTTTGTAGTATATACAAATATCAATTTACTATTTTGCACACTTAAAACTAATGTTATATGTCAATTATATCTCAATTTTTAAAAATTGGGCTTTCCATTAATAAAAGAGAAAAGGATAAGAAGACCGAGGGTTAGAGAGAATAATTAATAGGCTGTGATTCCACACATTATCCAAATATATTTTATGACTTATCACCATAAGCATACTAATTAAATATATTTTTTATTATACTTTATTAAAACATCATACAAAGGTTTTTTAAAAAAAGCTCAGTAAGATCTGAGACCACTAGCAGCATGATTATGACTATTTATTATCACTTTATAGTAGGAAAAAATGTCTAATTATTTGCCCTGTGCTTTTTAATTCTCCATCAATAAGAATTTCTAAAAATACAGTTGGTACCTGCTCTGAGAGCTGAAGATTCATTCTTTTCACATACTTCTACAGGCTGAACAGTCTTCTGGAGAATGCTGACCTGAAGACGCAAAAAAAACAAAAAGTACAGAAATAGTCTTCTTATAAATATAGTATTTCATTTTTTAGCTTTAGTTCTGCAGATCAAACACCATTCATAAATTAAACTAGTCAAAACTTATACAATCATATAAGGATGCCATGCATATGGGAGACCAGAGAAGACAAACTGGATCAAACCCACTAACAAACTGAATACACACTGACTGAAACCAGTGCTGGTGATATAAACGGAAAAATAAAATTTCAGGGCAGTATCTACCAAAAAAGAAAGTGGTCTTTGACAAGGTCCTTTAGGAAAGTAACAGAAACACTGAAGCATGCATATATAGATATGTATAAAGATGTTCACTGAAGCACTGTTTATAGTGTGAAAAAGTGGAAATCTCAATTATACACATAAATATTTCTATATGAGTAGAAAAAAGCTTTCTCTCTAGGATACAGGATTATGGGAGATTGTCACTTTTCTATTAGATTCCTGAAATCTGTGTTTGTTTTTAACAAAGACCACACATTACTTTTGTAATCGGTGTAAATGAAGACTTAAAAAGAACCTAGTATTGAAACTTGCTCCCACACTAAGTCTGTTCCTGCTGCTCTCTCTAATCTCATCCAAGACACCTCCTCCTCTAAGCTTAAGGTTTCCAAATGGCAGAATGGGGTAAACAATGCTACTTTCCAAGGCTTTTGAAGAAAAAGAATAAAATCACAAACCTGTTTGTAATTGCAGAAAATGCTCTGAAAACTTAAGCAAACTGAGACCATGGTGGCTAATTCTCATTTGAGCTTCTTTAGCAAGGACCAAAGTTGTCTGATTATGGACCCCAGCCTGCATTTTGTAAAAGCCTTGTTTACCGTGCTATACAGAGGAGGACTTACTTTGTTGGGAGGCTCCTTATAAAAATAGGTCACTTCTCCAGTGTCTGTTCCCACAAGAGCCAAGAGATTCTGAATCTTCTTCTTGTCTTCTAGCTCCCTGAAATTCTCATAGAGAATAAACATACATTGTGTCCAGAGTAAGTAAATGTTTGTTTAAAGGATCTCCCTTCTGACTCATTTATTTTTAAAGCAATGATAACCTCAAATTAAAATTAAATCAGATTAACCTCCTACACTGTTGGTGGGAATGTAAACTGGTGAAGCCACTATGGAGATCATTATGGCGGTTCCTTAAAAAACTAAAAATAGAGCTACCATATGACCCTGCAACCCCACTCCTGTGCATATAGTTGGAAAAGACGAAAACTATCTAATTCAAAATGATACATGTACCCCAATGTTCACAGAAGCACTATTTACAATAGTCAAGACAAGGGAGCAAGCTAGTGTTCATCAACGGGTGAACAGATAAAGAATATATACTATATACACAGGGCTTCCCTGACAGCTCAGCTGGTAAAGAATCCACCTGCACTGCAGGAGACCCCAGTTTGATTCCTGGGTGAGGAAGATCCGCTGGAGAAGGAACAGACTGCCCACTCCAGTACTCTCGGCTTCCCTTGTGGCTCAGCTGGCAAAGAATCTGCCTGCAAATCAGGAGACCTGGGTTTGATCCCTAGGTTGGGAAGATCCCCTGGAGAAGGGAATACTCCAGTAATATAATCCAGAATACTCCAGTTTTCTGGCCTGGAGAATTCCATGGACTGTAGGCCATAGAGGTGCAAAGAGTCAGACCCAACTAAATGACTTTCACTTCACTTTACTTCACTACACACACACAATGGGATGTTACTGAGTCATAAAAAAGAATGAAATAATGCTGTTTGTGGCAACATGGATCGACCTGGAGATTATTATACTTAGTGAAGTCACACAAAGACAAATATCATGGTATCACTCATATGTAGAATCTAAAAATATGATATAAATAAACTTATTTACAAAACAGAAACAGATTAATAGATGCAGAAAGCAAACTTATGGTTACCAAAGGGGATGAGGGGAGGGTGAACTGGGAGCCAGATCAACATACACACACTAGAGATAAAGCAGTCCTAACTGTGTAGTGCCAGGACTCGACTCAGTATTCTGTAAGAACCTATCTGGGAAAAAATCTGAGAAGTAAATATATATGTACACATAAATGTATATTTATAGGTATATACACATATGTAGGCATAAATGAATCACTTTGCTATATGCCTGAAACATTGAAAATCAAAAGTGTCAACAGAGAGGAGAGAGCATCAGCAATAGGCTCCAAAAAATTAACTATACTAAATTAAATTAAATAGGATTTATCTAGACTTCAGCTCTAATTTTAAGAGCATCAGGCATTTAGATTCAGGAATTCAGAGAACCCAGCAGGAAAAAACTCAATCAGCTGGTTGAAGAGCGTGAAGGCAGATACCAGGGCATACTGTTCAAATCTGCCTCTTCAGCTACGTGGGAGCTGACAGCTCACAGCTGGATCTCTCTCCAGGCCTGCCCTGAGTCCAGGCAGCCTGTCTCCCCAACTGTATGCTCAAGGAGCAGCCTGCACCCGGGGCCTGGCTACTGAGGGGTAGGAAGCCCAGTCCTCTCACCTCATTTCAGGATCTGAGGACCATCTAGAACGGCACCCTGTGGCAGGGGCTGAGGCCTGCTGTCACTGAATCGCCACTTAGCCTCTGCCCACTCAGACCTTCCAGAGTGCTCCGTGGTGGTTTACTCCTGAGCACACTCCCCACAAAGCTCCTGCAAGCAAATCTCCATTGTGGAGTACATTTTCCTGGAAACTGACCCCAGACAGTTGATACCACAAATGGATCAAGGAAGCAAACTTTAAGAGAGATGCCAGGGACTTCCCTGGTGGTCCAGTGGTTAAGACTTCGCCTTCCAACGCAAGGGGAGCAGGTTTGATCCCTGGTCAGGGAGCTAAATCCCACATACCTTGCAGCCAAAAAACTAAAACATAAACCAGAAGTAATATTGTAACGTTATAAATTCAATAAAGACTTTATTAAAAAATCTTTAAAAAACACAGTGAGATTTCAGAGCCTGGGATATGCAGACCTATTAGTGTTCTTAGGAGCAAGACAGGTGAGAGGTCAACAGGGCAGGGCAGAGCCTAAACCATCAAGTAAAGTAAAGGCAGGAGGAGGGCTGGGCTGCATTCTATACAAACTCACAACCTCTGACCCACTTCCCACACCCCGGCCAGCTGTCAAGACTACTACCTGAAGAAGAAGCTGCATCTCGGAGAGGTGAGACCTGGTGAGACCACGGCCATGATCCCTCAGCCCTTCCTCCAAGCGCCGACGGTAATTGTGCGTTGTGGGGAAGGAAACACCCAGACATTTCAAGGACTGCTGGCAGTCTGAACTGACTTTGACACCCAGTGACATGAAGCATTATCTAGGGCATACAGGAACCAGGTAATAAACAGAATTTTGGTTCCGGTCCAGCCCAAAGTGGGTCCACTGGATCCAAATCCATCTCCAAATGTACAATTGAAATGAACATAATTGGCAGTTGGCAAAACCTCCAAATTGCTTTCTCGGTCTCTGTGCTAAAGCAAGTGGAAGCCTCTGAAGCTGCCTCTCTGCACCCCAGCCACAATGGTAAACAAAGACTAAAGGACGTGAGGGTGAGGGTCCCCATCGAATCCCCGTAAGTTCACAAGTGTGACCCTGCAAAACCAGACAGGCAACAATGCTCTGCTACCAAGTAGTACGGCTTTGGTGACTGGCCAGCTGCAGTCGCACTTATGCTAGAGCAAAGAACCTGGTCTTAGGTACACAGCATGTGGCTATGGTTAAGCAAATGCACTCCCTTCAAAAAGTTACAGGACCAGAGCAGTTCTCGTTCAGGTGAAGTGAACAAGAGGATACTTCTACAGGCTTTCTGAGGACCTTGTTAGCTCTTCTGTTCAATACCAAATCTGTCCAAAGGGACCTGGATCTATTCACCACTGAACTATCGAATTAAATCAGATGGGACAAACAAGAAGTGCAAGTGGGTTAGAACCCTCATGCGTGCTCCAAAGGGGTGGAGGCAACCCTACACAGCACGTCAGTGAAGTTTCAGGGGTCTGATCTAGGCATGCCAGGACACTCCCTTCAAAATGAAGGACAGATTATTGTACCTCATGCCTACCACCACCAAGAAGGACTCCTAATGCCAGAGGAACTGCTCAGTGTCTGAAGACAACATGTCCTTTCTCTGGGACACTGCACAGGTAACAGGTGACATGGAAGGTGACACAGGACACTGCGCTGACCCATGGAACAGGTGTCGTGGAAGGTGACACAGGACACTGCACTGACCCATGGAACAGGTGTCGTGGAAGGTAACCTGGACACTGCGCTGACCCATGGAACAGGTGTCATGGAAGGTAACCTGGGACACTGCGCTGACCCATGGAACAGGTGTCGTGGAAGGTGACACAGGACACTGCACTGACCCATGGAACAGGTGTCGTGGAAGGTAACCTGGGACACTGCGCTGACCCATGGAACAGGTGTCGTGGAAGGTGACCCGGGACACTGCACTGATCCATGCAACAGGTGTCGTGGAAGGTAACCTGGGACACTGCGCTGACCCATGGAACAGGTGTCGTGGAAGGTGACACAGGACACTGCGCTGACCCATGGAACAGGTGTCGTGGAAGGTGACCCAGGACACTGCACTGACCCATGGAACAGGTGTCGTGGAAGGTGACCCGGGACACTGCACTGACCCATGGAACAGGTGTCATGGAAGGTGACCTGGGACACTGCACTGACCCATGGAACAGGCGTCGTGGAAGGTGACCCGGGACACTGTGCTGACCCATGGAACAGGCGTCGTGGAAGGTGACCCGGGACACTGCGCTGACCCACAGAACAGGTGATGTGGAAGGTGACCTTTCATTGCATCCCAGAGCTGAAAGGAAGTGCTACATTAGGTCAAGGCTGAAACTATTAAGGAGATTGAGCCAGGAATCAAAAACCTCCCAACAAAGAACACCCTGGATCTGACGGCTTCTATGGTGAATTCCACTGAACACTTAAAGGACTAACAGCAATCATCCTCAAACTTTTCCAAAAACTGAAGAGGAGGCAACAGTTCCTTTTACTTTCTATGAGGCCAGCACTGCCCTGATACAAAAGCTGGACAGACACTACATGAAAACCACTACAGACCTTACAGACATCAATACAAAAATCCTCCACAGGACATTAGCAAACCTGCATTCAGCAGCATATTAAAAGGATACACCAGGATTAAGTGGAATTTATTCCTGGAATACAAGCATGGTTCAACACATGAAAGTTGATCAAAGTAATACATCACATTGACACAATGAAGGAGGAAAACACACGATCATCATATGATACAGAAAAAGCATCTGACAACATTCAACACCCTTTTTAGATAAAAACACTCAACTAATTAAGAAGAGCAGGAAACAACCTCTGCACAATAAAAGCCACAAATGAAAAACCCACGGTTAAAGTCACACTCAATGGTGAAAAACTGCAAATTCTCTACTAAGATCAAGAACAAGACAAGGCTGCCCATTGTGCAACTTCTATTTAACTTAGTACTAAAGTCCTAGCCAGACCAAGAAGGCAAGAAAAAGGAAGAAAAGACTCAAGTTGGAAAGCAAGAAATAAAATAATCCTGTTCACAGATGACATGATCTTATACTCAGAAAACTCTAAGGATTCCACAAAAAATTTTTTTCAAAATTTAAAAAATTGTTAGAACTAGTAAAGGAATTCAGCAAAGGAGCACAACACAAATCCAACATGCATTTCTACACTGACAATGAAAAATCTGAAAAGAAAATTAGGAAAAGAATTTGATGCACAACAGCATCAGAAAGAATATTCAAGAATTAACCAAGGAAAGGAAAGACTTGTATAGTGAAAACACTCTTGTAAGAAATTAAAGATGAAATAAACAAATGGAAAGATATCCTGTGTCCATGGATTGGAAGACATAATATTAAGATGTCAACATTGCTTAGAGCAATGGAACAGATTCCATGCAAGTCCTATAAAAATCCTGTGTGGGCCGGTGAGAAAGTTCTGGAGATGGACAGGGGTGTGGCTGCACAATGACATGAATGCACTTAACTGAAGTGTATACTGAACTATACACTGAAAAATGGTTAAAATGGTAAATTTTAGGTTAGGTATATTTTACCAGAATTAAAAAAGAACTGTACTGTAGCAGGTGCCCTGGCACACTGCTCAGATGCCCACCACCAAGGGGCTCAGTTCTTCTTCAGCAACTGGACTGAAGGGAGCCACCTTTCCCAAGTTTATATCCCTCCTTGGTGGGAGCTGCATCCAATGACAGATCACTCCCTGTGGAGCTGACTAAGACCTCTGTCCCTTGGTGGACCCTGGTGGTGGTGGTTTAGTCACTAAGTTGGGTCACCTCTTGCAAACCCATGGACTATAGCCCACCAGGCTCCACTGTCCATGGCATTTCCCAGGCAAGAATATTGGAGTGGGTTGCCAAGTTTTCTTCTCCAGGGGATCTTTCCAATCCAGGGATTGAAACTGTGTCTCCTGCCACTACAGGTGGATGCTTTACCACTGAACCACCAAAGAAGTCCTTGGTGGACTCTATTGTAATTCAAATTCTCCCTCAACCCAAATCTGCTCAGAGCTGTTCCCCCTAAGAGTCTCCCTACTGACCATCATCCAGGCAAACTCCTATCTCAGAGCCTGATCCTTGGGAACGCAGCCAAGAGGACGACCACAGAAGAAATGCATCTCATTCCATGCGGTTTAGAAACATGCCCCCAGCATCTCCTTCCTCCCACTGGTACCTGATTCTTAGGCGGTCATTTTCCGAGTAGAGGCGTAGGATGTGCTCTCGCTCCTGGAAGAGGCAGACCTGCATGTCACTCAGAGCTTTCTGTAGCTCGGCAATCTCTTCCTCCCTCTGCTGCAAATCCCACTGCAGTTTATGCTGGTGAGAGAAAAAAAAGGCAGCTGACAAGATATTGGGCTTCAGAGGAGTAGCTCTTATTGCATGCAGTGGTGTCAGTTTATGTAGAAATATTACAAAGTGGACAGTTTCAGCAATGCAGGCTCCAAACGACAACAGGCTGTGTACAGACGAGTTTAAACCCACAAGGTGAATGACATCAGAGCTCTCACATCACCTCCTCTTACAGACGACAGAACCCAGGACACCACATGATCCACCTGTTATAGTCACTCCTTTTTCTGGCTACAACGTGCAGCTTGCAGGATCTCAGCTCCCTGACCAGGGATCGAACCAGTGCCCCCTGCAGAGGAAGCTCGAAGTTCTAACCACTGGAACACCAGGGAATTCCCAAGTCACACTTTAATGCTTTTTATGTAATACACATTATAAAACTCTGGAAAACAAAGATGAAAGGTGTGATTCCTGCTTACAGAGCAGGAGAAATTGTGTGGAGAGACAGACATGCCAATAATTAAAAGGAAAGAATGACTGAATGGAGGAGCACACATGGGGGAAGGGTAAGCACGGCACAGGAAGAATCTCTGACAGCTGCTGGGGGATCAGAGACCACCAGAGAGCTGAAGCTTGAGAGGAAGACAGAGATGGAGGAAGGCAGTGCTCTTGGGAAACAGCTGGAAATGCAAGGACCTCAGTATCACTGATGGCTCAGACAATAAAGAACCTGCCTGCAATACAGGAGACCTGGGTTTGATCTCTAGGTTGGGAAAATCCCCTGGAGAAGGGAACAGCTACCCACTCCAGTATTCTTAAAAATAGGCTTCCCTGGTCGCTCATATGGTAAAGAATCTGCCTCCAATGAGGGAGACCTAGGTTTCATCCCTGGGTCAGGAAGATCCCCGGGAGAAGGGAACAGCAACCCACTCCAGTATTCTTGCCTGGAGAATCCCATGGAGAGAGAAGCCTGGTGGGCTACACTGCATGGAGTCCCAAAGAGTCAGACACGACTGAGGGACTAACACACAGCATCACTGGAGCAGAAAGTGAGAGGTCGATGGAGCAGGGTGACCCCATGCGCTGGATCCGAGAAGCTGTTCAGGATGAACAGGAGTGTGAGAGTGCAGCCTGAGAGTCTGAGATGAGACAGGAGTTTGGACAGTGCGGCAGCAAGGATGCTGAGGTGGCGGGAAGGGACTGAGGGATGTCTGGGAGGCAGGATCAGCGGGTCTCAGCAAGCGACTGGAGGGAGGCTGGGCAGAACCATAGGCGCTGACGCCATCACAAAGAAGAAAGAAGCCTTAAGAGACAGGAGTGGAGGGAGGGGATGACAGGGGTCTACATGTACACACAGGCGGGGGGAAAGAGGGTTTTTGAATTCGGATACGGACACAGCACCATGGAGCTCAGCAGGAGGAGTCAGCCCTAGTTACCTGGGTGTCACCATCCCACTGAAAGAGGAAACAGAACAGGCTCCATTTTGAAAGCAGGACTCCATCTTGAGCCGGACTGTGGACTTTGAGCTATATGCCCAGTATCTATGGAAACGACATACCAACTAGAAAACCAGACCCCCCAGATGGAAAAGCCCCAGGGCTTTTACGGCTGGTCCCTAGACTCTCCCCTAAAAGAATACCCTAATTATCTGTGTAACCAAATAGAATCATAAATTATATTATGCTTATTGGGGTATGACCACAGGCCTATTGATAATTGTCCACAGTTAAGTACCTAGGCTTAAGGCATACGAACACGGGTTAACTTTGATTGTATCTTTTTTTTCCTTTGTTCAGACTAGTTTCAGAGAATTTGGGGAGGGGGGGTTTGAGCACCTACACTTAGGGTATATAAGGTTTTCACAAAAACTGGTTGGGGCCCTTGGCTCAGAGGAGACTCTGCCTTGGGCCCACTGGTGTAATAAACTGCACTCCACTATCTGCACTGTCCTTCTGAGTGAGTTTGTTTCCCGGAATGCGTGGCTACAACACCATAGGCAGGAGGACAACGCGTGGACAAAATGAGATCACTTACGGTAGAATCACAAAGAACTTTGACATTTAAGGTTAAGGAAGGAGAGGTCACTCTCACCTTCTGAGTGGCCCATACTCGTCTGTGGAGTTTCCCTCTAAATAAATCTACCTCTTGAGTCTCATTTTGTCTCTCAGTGAATTTTTTCTGCAATGAGACAGCAAGAACCTGAGTTTTACTAAGCCCTGAGACCGAAGACCAAAACCCCTACAGGTGGGAGAAGTTAGCAGTTAATGTACTGTATGCTAACAGTATGCTGTCCACAAGTACACAGACCCCAGACAGGTTGGAACTAGCAGGGGGATGATGCTGACTCCTGATGACCTCACCGCCAGCCAATCATAAGAATGTCCATGAGCTGGCCACACCTTCTCTGAACCATTATGATAGAACTTCTTCCTACCTTCTCCAAAGGGACACAGTTTTGAGGGCAGCAACTTAAGTCTTTTCCAATTCACTGTCCCCGCCTCCCCGCCCCCCGCCCCCCAGAAAAAGTATTAGGAAAGAGAGCTGTTAGTGAAGACTGAGAACTGGTCAGGGAGGCAAGCCAGGCACTGGGAAAGAAAAACAACTCTGGAATCAAAACGGAAGCAGACCTCTCAGAGAGGTCAACAGGGAACATACTGCAGAAGTCACTGAGGCAACAGGTCCTGGAGCCATGGGAGGGGCAGCTGCAGTCAAGGAGTCGCTGAGCAGGTGACCGAGTCAAACCACTCTGGAAGGCTGGCTGGGGAAGAAAGCTACCGCTGCCCCGAGAGAAGAGTTAGGGAAGCTTGGCTAGAGGGGGGCCTTTCTCTTTGTTGGGAAAGACTTGAGTCTACCTGTATACTAAGGAGGAAAAGCCAATGTCAGAAGAGGTTAAAGACAGAGACAAAGGAGAGCTCCCCGGTGGCCGAGTGGTTAGGATTTGCGGCTTTCACAGCCATGGCCCGGGTTTAATTCCTGGTTAGAAATCAGATCCTGCAAGCTGCGTGGCATGGCCAAAAAATAAACAGAAACTGCTGGATCTGTTCAGCCTCACTATGCTCCCTGGAGCAGTGAGGAGGGGGGGACGGATATGGGTGCAGGTGACTGAGCGTGGTCGGGAGGAAAGTGAGGCTGCCAGAGGAGAGAGAGGGGCCTGTGGGCCACAGGGGAGCAGGGAAGGCAGGGCCTGGGCCTGGAAGGGTGGAGGCCGGGACCGGGAGTCTACCACCGAAGGGTAAAACTTCCATGTGGTGGCTGAGAACACCATGATTTGTTTCCTGTGAATTGATCTTCCAATGACCTTTCTAGGACAGTGGTTCTCAAGTGGGGGGTGGGGGGGGTGGGGTTTGCCTAAGCCCCCAGGAGAACTCTGGTGTTGTCTGGGGGCACTGCTGACTGTCACCACTTGGGGGTGCGGGTATCCAGCGAGCAGAGGCCAGGGATTCTGGTACAGGTCCTTTGTGCACAGGACAGCCTGTATGACAAAGAACTGGCCAGCCCTCACTGTGGGTAAGGCCATGGGCGAGAGGCCCTGATCCAGGACACAGGTGGTGGACGGGGTAAGCCACAGGGCGGGCTGCTGCCAGTAAGGGGCACAGACCAGCAGGGCCACATGCAGGCAGTGCAGCGACTCCTGGAGTGAAGCCAAGGGGGTGCCATTTAGAGAGGGACAGGGCGGCCAGGAGCTGACACACGGCACTGAGAAAACTGAGAAGTCAGGGAGCTGGGGAGGCAACACTGGCATGAAGTCAGGCGTGGGGCGGAGAAAGAACCAGAGGCACAGGAAGGCTGAGGAAGAGTCACGACTTCAGAGACAGAGCGGTCTGGGGCATCGTGATCCAGTGAGGCACTCAGGAGAAGGGCAGCTTGGCAAGGCGGGAGGGATCTACAGAGAACATGGACATGTGTGCTCTGACGCCAGCTGGCACTCGCGGGTGATCTCAGCATTGGACGGGCTCACTCAGAGTCCAGGATTGCCGCGCTGGGTCCTCCTTACCTGCCCCTCGCACGCTTCCCTGTATAGCTCCAGCTTCTTTAACAAGTCCTCATTCTCTGCCTCACACTCAGACATCTTCTTCTGATAATATTCCAGAAGCTCCTGAGAGGGGCAGAGGACAGCCAGACGATCCTCCACCGAAGGCAGGGGAGTCGACTGTACAGAATCGGAGAAGGACACGCCCTTCCACCTGGCAGGGCTGCTGAAGCTGCCGGCAGCCTCATGTTTGTGGATAGCTGCAGGCCTGTGAGAGTAGGGGAAGGATACATTCATAAAACTGTGTGAACGTCTATGAGATGTTACAATTCCTCAAATTAAAAATAAGGCTTAAGTTCTGAAAGTGCTCATAATGAAGGTGCTCACAAACCTAAGAGTTTGATACTACAGGTTCGTGAATAATCAATCTTATGAACTGCTCTCCAGGTATTAAAGGCTTAAAGCTGGATTCAAAATACAAGTTAGACAGTAAAAAGAGATCATTTAAAAGAAAAAAAAGGAATATCAACTAAGTAAGGCCAGAGAGTGACAGCCAGAAAATTTGATACTATTAAGAATACAGCAACAGGAACACTTATATGCTGTTGGTGGAGGATAAACTACAGAAAGTAAATCGGTTAAATCTAGTAAAATGCAATTCTCTTGTCCACACATACATATAATGTGACAACACAAAAATGTTCATAGAAACATTATTTGTGATAACAAAAACAGTAAACTTTCCAAATTTCTGTTCAATAGGATAATGGATAAATGGTGTATTCAGACAATGGAATATTTTCAAAGTTACAGAAAACATGAATTAGAGATACATGTATGACTGAGTGAATCATCTGAACAATATTAAGTGGGAAAATGCATGTAGATGCATATACAGAAGATATTACCACTCATTTATAATCAGTACTTGCAAAATGAAAGTTTACTTTAAGGGATAGACATATAAGTGGAACAAGTGTTAAGGATTAGGTAAGTTATTAAGTGGATCAAGATTCAGGATTAGAAAACAGAGCCTTGGGACTTCCCTGGTGATCTAGTGGGTAATTCCAAGCTCCAAAACAGGGGGCATGAGTTTGATTCCCGGTAAGGGAACTAGATTCCACATATAGCAACTAAGAGAGAGTTTGCATGCTGCAACTAAGACCCAGTGCAGCCAAGTAAATAAATATTTTTTAAAAACTAAAAAAGAATAAAGCCTCATCAATAATCACACAACCAATCAGACCCCAACGTCTAACATCAGAGACTTGAATTATACAGACCAAAACCAGCCAAGAGCAAAGGCTAGATCAGAGGGTTTTTTTGGTTTGTTTGCTTTCAGCAAACAAGAGACAATAAAAGTTATAGAAAACAAATGATACAGAAGCAGAGAAATTCTCATGTGAAAATTAACTCACTTTAGCTAATTGCCGGCAGTTTACAACAAAATAGATCACAGAGCAGAGAAACTTAATACCAGAGTTTAAACAAGCCCAGAGGTGTAGTTAATGAAGGTTATGGGCAGCACTTTTAATAGATGAGCATGACAAAAAAAATACTACTTTATAAATCATTAAAAGCTCATGACAGAAATACTATTTAGTTTCATGTTTTAAAAAGGTGCTGCCTTCTGACATCTCTGGGAAATAGGTTAATGGATAAACTAACTAAAGGGATTTCTGAAGTCCTATAAACAGGAGTGTGCTGATGACGAGGAGGGCAACGAAGAGGAGGGGTCATGCAGGCTGAGTCCACAGCCTCCTGTTTTTGTCTGTTGGTTGTTTCCCCTGTAACCAAGGCCCACTCAAACTGCCTGGATTCTGGTATTAACATTTACTATGTCCTAGTTCTTAATCTAAATTCCACATAACAAGAATAGAGAAGTGAGGTCTAACATAGTTCAAATCCAGAGTTGGGAAGTTCTCTTCCAAAACCCTTCTAGTTCTTAAGCCAGTGGGCACTGAGGCGCCAGACGTCTAAGTTCTTTATTTCAACAACTCAAAAATAAGCAAATGTCTTACTTTCTGCAGGCAGGGGAGTGCGTCGGCGTAAAGTTCATGCTGTCCTTTCACACCTGTCAAATACACAAAAGATGGTTCTGGGATCAGGAACAGAAAAACAGTACAGGATGTGCAGACCAGTCCACCCAACATCATCAGAATGTGATGTTTTAGAATGCAGTATTACTTAAAGCAGTTCCAAATCCTGGGATTCTACTCAGGCATTCTTCCTCATCATTGTTTTTAAATACAATCAGACTGACCTTTAACATTTCAATGCCAAGCACACAAAAGAAAAGCCCTAGTATGAAAGTTTTCTGCAATGAATTTACATGCAAAACAAATTGACAATTCTTTCTGTGAAATCATAGCAGAAACTTTCTAATAACCAAGAGAAATTAAGTGGAAATTCAGGTAGAGGACTCAACATGGTAAATTTCAGTTAAATACAAAGGCACTGATGTTATCTTATTTGGTGTGCTGCATCTATTGTTTTAACATTAAAAAGTTCATGCACAATTTCCATTTCAATTGATAATATAGATCAATCAAATTTCTTAATTTAATTGGATAATTACAATATCGGGATGGTTTCTGCCATACATCAACATGAATCGGCCATAGGTATACATGTGTCCCCCCAATCCTGAACCCCCCTCCCACCTCCCTCTCCACCCCATCCCTCTAGGTTGTCCAAGAGCACTGGTTTTGGGTGCCCTGCTTCACGCATGGAACTCGCACAAGTCATCTATTTTACACATGGTAATGTATATGTCTCAATTATTCTCTCAAATCATCCCATCCTCTCCTCCTCCCACGGAGCCCAAAAGTCTATTCTTTATGTCTGTGTCTCCTTTGCTGTCCTGCATGTAGGACTGTCAGTACCGTCTTTCTACACAGATCAATCTTGTCACAGTAATTTTCAGGAAGATAAACTTCACTGTCAAAGAGGGAATGCCATGTTATGTGAAGGGGAGAGAGGGGGAGAGGGGAAGATGGGGAGATGGGGCATGGGAGGGGCTCTTTGTAAACTTGGCTCTGGGGAAAGCTTTCTCATCAAGCCTGCTGTCACTCCACTGTGACTGTGAGCAGGCGAGAGTGCCATAACGGTCTATCCCAGTGCTCTTCTGCTTGATAAATGCCTGCCTACAATCTTCAGTCCCTTGGGAGGAATTCTGTGAAAAGGAGTGAAAGCACGCACCACTTTGGTTAATTCCAGGTGCCCTTTTCCTGCTCACAACCCCGTGCTCGCCCCCCTCCTCCCCCAACCTCTTGAGCTTTCCTGCACTTAGCCCCCCAGACACCACTTGCTCCTCATTTCGCTCCCTCCTCACTGGCCACTGATCTTCAGTCACTTCTAGTTCTCATCTTTACTGCCTTGGCGACCTCATGAAGCCTTGTGGCTCTAAATACCAGGAACACACCAGTGGTTCTCAAATGCAGCCTCTAGTCCTGAGTGCCCTCAAGAGACTCATGCACCTCTGCCTGAGGAGGTCTCTCAAGCTTAACATGCCCCAAACTGGGCACCGCCCCCCCCCACCCCCCCCACCCCCGCCACAGACCTCCCACCACCAAACCTGCCCTCTCAGGAGGTATGATCCACATTCCAAACAATTCACTCATTTCAATGTACAGCTCAGTGAGTTTAGTAGAGTCACAGACACGTGCAACCATCACCATCAGGAGCTTTAGAACATCTTCAGCACTTCAAGAAACCCAGGTAACCTTCAGCTCTCCCCTAAGTTCCACTCCACTGCAGCCCTAAGCAAGCACCAATCTACTTCCTGTCTCCACAGAGCTTCCTGTTCTGGACTTGCATGCCCGTGGAATTGTCAGGCGAGTGTATGCTCCTCAGTTTCTGTCTCATCACAACAAAGATTTGGAGTGACGGACATTAAAGCCCCCCTCGGTTGTCACAGCTCTTGGGTCTTGGACAGACCATGTTATAGCTCTCAGGTCTCGAACGGATCGTGTTATAGCTCTTAGATAAATCAGTGTTACAGCTCTAATTTATTTAGATAATAGCAGGAAAATCCATCTTCGAGGCGTGAGGGCATGTCGACCCAAAGATGCGAAGAGAAGAGCGCCCCAGTGAGCGGGAGAGAGAGAGCTAGCTTTGGCTCCTCTTTTATATGTTTTCTCTCCCTGGGCCTGTCCTATGTAAACTGGGCCAGCCAGGAATGCTGTTTGTCTTACCTGAGGTTCTCACTCAGTTCCTCGGACCTTCCTTTGTTCTATTTTCTCGGGCTTCTCCCTTCCAGGTCTTTTAGCCACTGCCATTCTGGACTCCTTTTCCCTATACTAACTACCTAACAGAATCACATGGTATGTAGTCTTTCTGACTGACTGCTTTTATTTCGCCTAATGTTTTTAAGGCTCCTCTATGTTGCAGCACTCCATTCCTGTCTATGTATCTGGATGGCATCTGAAATGCCACTGTCCTCAAATCAGTGAAGAGCAAGTGGAGCTTTCTAAGAACTTCTAACAACCTGCAACCTCTCACCTCCCTCTTTTCCTTACTCCTTCCTGACCTAGTGTACATCTACAAAAAGTTGCCTACACTCATGTCTCATTTAGCTTTATAATCTCTAAGACCTCAACTCTGCTACTGCATCTGAACTGAAGTTGCCCTTCTTCATCAGCAGACATCCAAATTCATAAGTCCAATTTTCTTTTGCTTCCGTCCTTCTCCATTCAACAAGTGCATTGATTGCGTGCCTGACAATGTTAACCTCTTTTTAAAAATATTGCTTTGTGGTTGAGAGCACAGGTTCTGAAATCAAGCAGACTTGGGTTTGAGCCAAAGTTCTGTCCCCTATTAGCTGTGTGGCCTTGAGGAAGTTTTTACTTAACCTCTTTAAACTTCAGTTACTCATTAGAAAATGGGGATAATAATAGCATATATGTCACAGGCTGGTGTAAGGATTAAATGAATAAAAGAGCAGAGCACATGTCCAACACATTTAAGCACTCAATAAATGCATACAATTACTATTTTCACTGAAAATTTTACTCCCTTGGTTCAAAAGGCTTTGTCTTCAACTTTCTTTACTACCTCCTCTCTCCATTTCTGTGGGAACATTATTCCCACTTCTTTTTGATAATTACCTATATCATCTAAAACACGACCTGGAAAAGAATAACTTACAATGACTTCTAGAATGAATAAATGAGATCTTTCAATCTCCTGACTTGAATTTTCAATTATGTAACATATTTTCATCTATATATGTCCCATTGGAGCTTGAAATGTTTAACTCAAAAAAAGAAAAATCAGAATGAAGTAGCTCACTCCTGGGTCATGAACCCAGAAATGTGGTCATAACTGACCGATGAAACTCCTTAATATTAAAAAAAATCATTCAAGCCACGTATTTTTTGCCATCTTAAAGCTAATGCTCCCCAAATACCTCACCTTTGTCACCCAAACATGCTCCTTCTGACCTTCCTATTTCAGTTACCCATTCAGCATCTTTCAAGTACCCTGGATTTGAAAATGTACTCATTTCATTACTCCTTCTCTTGACCCTCTTCTGACAAGGACGGGTGTTAATTAGGGATCCTCCATGTCTTCTTACCTAACCTACTACAATGACTTAACTGTTCTACCCAACCCCTCACCTGACTAAAAAGTCGTTAAGATTCATCGGTGTTTCTCATAGTCTAACGCACTAAACCAAACTCTGCCTAACCCTCACGGCTTTTTAAATGTATGGCCCAAACCTACCTCTCCTGCCTTGTTTTCCTCCACTCCCCTAATGTGCTCCGCGCCCATGTCTTTGTTCAGGAGCTTCCCTTCAGCTGGTCCACAGTTCCCTCCACTCGTAACCTCACTTAATGAAATTCAATCTGCACACGATAAGCTCAAGTACCACCTCTTCCATCTCTTCCCTGAGTCTCTCCATCCAAAACGAACTAGCTGCAGAGGGAGCGCATTTGTCATTCTCTAAGAGGGGACGGAATAGGTTCTCTGGGGCTCCCAGCTCTCCCACGACCGTGTGTACTATCTGCAGATGGAAGCATCGTCCTATCTCCTGAAAGAACTTGGCCCTTCCCTCGTTTATAACACAAATTACAGTGTTTCAATCAGCTTCTACCCGTCCCTATTTTTATTTGGGTTTACATTTTCTATAGCTTGTTTACTTAAAAACTAAAATCTGTTTAGCACTTGGGCATTTATTACTTTAACCCCACAACTCTGTGAAGGATCTTATCCCTCAACTTCACAAATGAGGAACGTGAGGCTGAGCCCGGCGGGGACGATGAGGGAATCCCAGGAGCTTACGTTCCGTACTCCTCTCTCCATTTCGTCCTGTTTTGACCCCCTGGGGACCAGAGACCCCCATCCTCCCGCGCCACCCATCCTCCCCCTAAAGATGCTAACTGTCCGTTACGGCCCGGGCCTCCCGACGAGCCCTTTCAGGCTCCCACTCGTCCGCTCCGCACTGCTCACACAGTTAGTACCCCAGCCCCGGGCACAATCCCTCTTTTCCTCCCCAGACCCCTTCCCTGACCTCCCCCTCCTGGAACCCGGAACTCCACTCACCCTGCCTGGAGCCGCAGACGCCAAGAACCCAACAGAAAAACACTTAAACCGGGGGGCGGCGCGGCGGGCACGAGCCCGCCCAATCGCCCACTGGCTTACACAGCCTCTGGATTGCGCACCAATAGGAAAGCTGTTCATACAAAGGCTCGCCCCCTTCCCGCCCTCCCTCGCGCTCCTTGGCCCGCAGAGGTTACTGGGAAATATAGTTTCACCTCTGCACACAGCACTCCTGGTGAAGGAGGGGCGGGGGAGGGGGGCGTGCAGTGTGATGTTTGAGGTCAGTCGTGCTAGTCCTGGCGCACTTTAGTCTCCCAGTTTAGGCTTGTTTTCATGAATGCAGTAAATAATCACAGGATTATTATGAGTTGTGATATAAAAATTTATCTCTAAGGAGGTGAAGAGTCTAAGACATTATAGTTTCTCCTTCAATGATCTGGTGGCCTAGAGCCAAGATAGCATTTGTTGGATCACTTTGTACGGTCAGAAGAGTATGTATACGAATGCGCTTTTTTTTTTTTTTTTTAACCTCCAGCATCTTTTATTTTTCCTAAAACCTGTATACAATTAACTCGAGCACGGCAGTACTCAATACTGTTTAAGCCTCACATTTTAATTACTTATTATAAATGTGAATGCACATCCTCATAACTGGGAAACTGACATTTTCTTATTTATGTAACCATACAAAATTTTATATGCAACAGGAGCTTTTATACTATAGAATCTGACCTTACAAACTAGCTTACATAAAAGTTACTTTGCTCATCTGTCCTAATCTACAAAGTGTTGCACCAATGCTTAAGATGTTATTAAAACAGATGAGTTCTCTCAAAACAAGGTTAACAAACCTGAAGGCTCCACCCTAGAAATACAAACGCATAATTTGAAAATTGTTTTACCAGAAATAGCTTATGAGCAACTCTTACCATAGTACTATAGCGAGTTACAGTGTTGACCAAAAGAAGACACAGGTTTCTTATTAAACTTTTTTTAATGGGTCTCAAATTCTGTGACAGATTTTTGGTCAAGTTGTTTTCATTAAAAAGTACTGATTTTAAAAACTAATAACTTAAACTGCCACACACAAAACATATGGTCCACAAAAACATTCTCCTTTCCTTCTGAAGGTTTTACGATGCATTGTTATCATTAACCAGTCTTTTACTATTAAATTTAAATGGCCAATTGAGACAAACAGTTCTGAGACCGTTCTTCCACCACTGATTAAGACTGGGGTGGCAGGTGTTGGGGATAATATTCATACGAATGCGCTTTTTATCGGGTAGCAGACACTACCTCCTTTTCCTAAGAGGTGTGAGAAACTTCCTTAAATCATATCGTTAGTTAAAAGCCAATTGTGGTTTCATCTTTGCAGAAGAGTACGTAGGGGGAAAGGCACTTTAGTCTCAGGGCTGCAACTTTTGGAATGGGCTGGGACAGGGGGCCCTTTACGGCAATGCTTGCACCTTGATAAATGACTCCTCCAGTAACAGAATACAAAGAAACTATAAGGGAATGAAAATAATTGTGCATGCAGGGTTGTGGAAAATCATGAACAGTAAGAAACAAAAAGGCCAAAACCCAACTGCTGCTTGCACACAGAACCATTAAGGTGGCAGACAGACCACATAAGCCACCCCTTTAGCCCAGAGGCAAGTCACAGGTTTTCAATCCCTCCTGCTGCAGAATGAGCCCCAATAAAGCATTGCCTGAATTTCTTACCTGGCCTCAATTTCTATTGATTAGAGTCCAAGGACCCTGGTTGGTAACAGTGCTGCTAAGGAAAACCTGGGACTCTTCACTGGTCTGACACATAAGCATGTCTAAGAGGAAGTTGCCATCTTCTAAATCTGCTTTTCCACCTCTTTTTTGATTTTCTGTTAGTTACAGTCAAGATATTCTCAGACACTTTAGCTCAGTATTTTTCTCTTTTGGCACCTGGGGTCTCCCCAGGTAGCTCAGCCGGTAAAGAATCCACCTGCAACGCAGGAGACCCCACTTCAATTTCTGGGTGGGGAAGATCTGTTGGAGAAGGGATAGACTACCCACTCCAGTATTCCTGGGCTTCCCTTGTGGCTCAGCTGGTAAAGAATCTGCCTGCTAATGTGGGAGACCTGGGTTTGATCCCTGGGTTAGGAGGATCCCCTGGAGAAGGGAACACTCCAGTAATATACTCCAGAAGGGAAAGGCTACCCATTCCAGTATTATAGTCTGGAGAATTCCATGGACTGTATAGGCCATGGGATCATAAAGTCAGACACAACTGAGTGACTTTCACTTTGGCACCTGCATTAAAAAAAAAATCATGGTGATCTTGTCATACTACTGGCTTTCAAATTTATATCTTACTACTTATTTCCACTCCATGTTGCATTATCTTTAGCTTGGACTATTTCCATAGATTTCTAACTGGCATTTTTGCCTAAAGATTCCCCTCCCCCCTTTTACAATCCATTCTATAAAAGGTGACTTTTTTCTTTTTAAAGCATACTCTGGACAGGTCATACTATTACCTACCTGAGTTCCTGGACCCTTTAATCAATAGAAATTGAAAAGGGTCCATAAGAAAAATTCCAGCAAGGCTTTATTGGGGCTCAGGGAGTGAAAACAAGTAACACTTTTCCTTGGCTCACTCAAAGCCACCCCTGCCCACCCACCCAGCAGGTCCTTTAAAAAGGGTGAGGGTAGGGGTGGATGGGCCAGAGGGGTGGCTTAGCTGGTCGCCTGCCTCCTTGGTGGTACTGTGTCCAGGGATCATGGCAGTTGGGTTTTGGTCTTTTTGTATATTATTATTCATAATTTGCCCCAACTGCTGCATGCACCACAGTTATTTTTAGTTCCTTGTGGTTTCTTTGTATTCTGTTGCCCAGGAGACTTGTTCAGGTGCAAACACTGCAGAAAAGGGACCCAGGGCCCAGGCTGTCTCAGTACTCCTGCTCCTAACTTCTAGTGACTCCCCAGAGTAGAGGATGAAATCCAGATACGAACAGGGTATTTAAACTTTGCCATAATCTGACCCCACCTATCTCTATGACAATAAATAACCAGTTTTTTCCTAAATGCAGCATGCACTTTGCAGCTTTCGCTCACACTTTTTAAAAAAAATCTGAATTCACCCTTTCCATGAACCCTCACCCATAAAATTCTTACCAAGGCCAATGCAAATATCATCTCCTTAACTGGAAGTAACTCCTAGCCCTTGATATTGAGGTAGTAAGTTGTCATTATATATAACATAGCTCTATTCAGATGTCATCAGCCTTGAGCCCTTCTCTGGTCGCCCTATCCCCACTTAACACCCTTCCACACTCTCCCTTCACTACTTTTTAAGACCTTATGGCCACCAAAAATAGTATATTTATTTGCTAGTACTCATGATTTTGTCTCCCTCCACCATCCAAATATAAGTGCTCTGAGGGAACATACTTTGCTTTGTTGTTCGTTGTCCACAGGTTCAGCATTTAGAAGATCGCCACAAGCAGATGCTCAGTAACTTGCTGAAAGCAGGAACCGAAGTGTAACATTTCTCCCCCGCCCCGCGCCACCCCCGGCCCCCGCCCCGCGCCACCCCCCCCCCCGCCCCGCCCCGTGTGTGGCCCCTACAGTTAACAGCTGCTCTGCTTCTTAGTTTCTAGCTCTAGGTCAAAGCGTTACCATCCATTCAAATGCCCCAGGGGCATTTTCAATCCATCCCTCTCTCGAAACCTCCTCAACATCAGATTATGCATAGTGAGGGAGGACTGAGTTAAGGATTATTTCTAGATTTCTGGCTCAGGCCAAATGAATAGATGAATGAAGTCATTCACGGAAACTGGAAATACTGGGGGGGAAAAAAAAAAACCAGTGGGGAACTACAAGTTCATGGTTTACCAGAGTTGAGTAGACAGTGGTAGGTAGACAGATATATTGATTTGTAGCTTAGGAGAGGAGTCCAGGACGGAAGTACAGATTTGAGAGTCATAGCTGCTAATTTAGTTCGTGGGGAAAGTTGAGATTGCACAAGGAGCATGAGAACAAGCCCTGGGAAATAAGTCTTCTTCCAATAGATACAAGAACTGCCCTTTCACGGTTTCTTCTTTCGTCCTTCCTGTGTTACTCTCCACAACTTGCAGGAAGTGGAGATGGACTCTGGCATAGAATGTTTCACAAGCAGGGCCGCAGCAGCTGGCGTAGATGTTACAGAAAGCTGAGAAAGGCTTACGGCGCGTGGCTGCCAGAAAGCGATTGCTGTTGAGAAGCCGTGGGGGTTGTCAATGGCTGGAAAAGCAAAGTCAACAGCCGTTGCTTCTCTGTCGACGAAAATCAACTCCTGGATGGTGGCGAGGGCCGGCCGGTGAGAGATTCGCTGGGATGGCTGAACCTGAAACTGTTGCCATGGAGATGGGGCGGGTTCAAGTGGCCGAGTGGGATGAGAAAGGGACAGTAACAATGAAAGGACTAAAAAAAAAATAGACGCTGGAAAGCGTAGTTATCTGGAAACAGGCGGACACGGAAGTTGAAACAGGCAGCCGGGCGAAGACAGGCAGCTTGTGTTCCGGTCCGTACATACACAAAGAGGGACCCAGCTCAGATTGCCGGAAGCAGAACCTCTGCCCCCGGCGCATTACGCGTCCCCCGCGCCGGAAGAGCGCCCCGTGAGGCCGGCCGCTCCCCTACCGCCCAGTAGGAGGGGCCGCGGGGCTGTGCCGCCGGGAGTCGTGGACAGCGCGGAACTTCGGCACACGAGGAACTCAGGAGCGAGCCGAACTGCCGGGAGAGGAAAGGGGAAGGAAGGTCGCTCAGGAGAGCGCCGCTGCGGAGGAATCCTGTTTTCTGGCAGCGGAGGGATTTGGCCGCACGCTTACTTCCGGCGAACGTCGACCGGAGAGGGGGGAAAAAAATTCTGAAGGAAACAATAACAAACGCCAGAGGAAGCGGGGTCGGTCTGCGAGTGTGGAGCGAGTCTCTCTCGAGAAGATGAGCTTCGGCCCCTGTCAGGGGACGTGAGCGCGACCGGCGGGGCCCCAGCGCAGCCCTTCTCCACCCGCCCCGCGGGCCCTGGTGCCGTCATGGCGGGCGTGGGGCCGGGGGGCTACGCGGCGGAGTTCGTGCCGCCCCCGGAGTGCCCGGTGTTTGAGCCCAGCTGGGAGGAGTTCACAGATCCGCTCAGCTTCATCGGCCGCATCCGGCCCATGGCGGAGAAAACCGGCATCTGTAAAATCCGACCTCCCAAGGTACCGGAGTCCCGACCGCCTCAGCGCGGCCTCCCGGCCCCCTGTCCTTTCACGTTCGCTCGCCCTGGTCTCTCGACACCTGGACGCTGAGTTTCTCTGTTTGTTTCCGTTTTGGTTTCTTTGGGGTTTTAATGTCGGCTGGTCCAGAGGGGAGAAAAGGATGTCCCCGGGGCCCTTCCGCCCAGAACTTGGGAACTGATACTCTCCTTCCCGTCTTGGGTTGTGGGCAAGGGTAACAAAGGCTTTTAGCCTTTCGTTTTTCTTGTGAGGTGATGGAAGCGTTTTGACGCGACAGCCCGACCCGCGGGAGGGGGGGTGGGTGGGGTGTATGTGTTGGGGGGGTGCGGGGTGGGTGTGTGTGTGTGTGTGTGTGTTACACTCGTTTCTTTGCGATAGGAAAAGCTGTGGTTCCGACGGCTGCTGCTTTCTCTCAGCCCTGTTGACGCTTAATTGATTAAATGTTCGCAGGCCTCATCTCACGGCTGAGGTTTCTTTACTAAGTGGTAATCTGAGCTCTTAGGCCCTTGGGGTGGTGTCACCAAACAAGAACCCCAAACTGATTACTGCTGCAATGAAAAAAGTCTTCCCCGGGGAAGAGAAGGAGCAGCGTTTATTGTAAAAATTCGGAGGTTTAGAAAGAATTGGTCCATAATGGAGGTGGAAGAAAACGTTGAAATCTTAAAAGATATCGAGAGTCGCAGCTATTGCAGATAGCTGGGTTTGCCCATAGGTTGGTTACAATCCTCAATCTTTCCGGTGAGAAAGCTGATACTGTGCCTTGTTTTGTGGGCCTCAGTGCCCCAAGAGGTTGAGGATTTGCTCAAGGTCAGAAGGTTTTTTTTTTTTTTTTTCCCCCCTCTGCCCGTTAGGTCCAGTGCTTTTCCAGCTGGTGTTTCTGGTCTTTTTGCCCCAGAGGCACCCGAATGTTTGTTAAAATGCAGATTTCTAGGCCCCATTCCCATTCTAGAACCAGTTTCTGGATATGGAAGTTCTAGAATTTGCATTTCTAGCAAGTACTCGCAGTGTTCGTGAAGGTCTGTGAGCCATGCCTGAGTGCTTCTTAAAGTGATAACTTTGCTTTATGTTTTGTCTCCTAGTAATTAAAATTTTGTTGTTTTTACACGTTGTATTTTAAAAAGTTTCGGTTTTTACTACCACAGAAGCATGTAGAGCAGTGAATAAAAAGAGGTTAGCTGAGAGGGAGGAGGAAGAGCAGCTAACGTAGCACTTACAGATTTTTTTGTTTAATATTCTTTGAAGGCCTAGTAGGTAAATAAGGTCTCATTTTAAAGATGAGGCGAGTCTGTATAGGTTAAATAACTTATCAGATGTGTGATCTTGGGCAAAGTAAATTTTTGAATCTGGATCACTCAGTTTGATTCTGAAACCCAGACAAGCAACTTCTCTTGTGCTCAGTCAGTTTGGTTAAGATTATTGACCATCACTCACAAGCAAAAGATTAAGAAATAAGTGCTGTGATGAATGATGTATGTGTATTGCCATCCTCCCAGGACTTCACTTCACTTTTATGAAAAATGTATTTTCATTTAATCCTTTGTTTTTCACAATTATCTCATTGACAAAACCTTAAGCACTGAAGCTTTTCCTGAACCATATATGTTCATTTACTCTGTTGTCTTAATGAATTAGAAATTCTATTCAAGGCTCCTTTTGGTTCAAAAAAAATTGACTACTTTTCGTTACTTAAAAAAATTGAAATAATATACCTTCTCTTTGTGTCACATTACTGAAAATAAATGTTTACAAGCAGAATTTAATTTCAGTATTGGTGGATTTCTTTAGTTTCCAAGGTAAGATAATTTTTTTTAAACTTTTCACATTTTAAAATAGATTTAGTATTATTTAGGCCAAGTCAAACTATGGTCTCTAGAACTCTACTTGAAATGTGCTATCTCATTTCAGTTATACCACGTCTCCAATCTGGAAATTGTCCTTGATTTGTGGGTTTGCTTGCCTTTTTTTTAAAATTTTCATTTAAAAAAAAAAAAAAATTTGGTTGCCCAGAAGCTGGGCTTTGAAGAGAACATTTATGTAACGTAGACTTAAAGTGCTGTGTCACATTCCACATGAATGAAAAAACATATTGTCCAATTACATAAGTACTTTTAAAATGTTATCTTTTGGTCTTTAATTTTACTCTTTTTTCATTTCTTTCAAATTCTATTTTCTTTTTAATTTGATAAACTTGGATGATTCTTCGATGCTGTATTGAGATGAGCTGATTGGATTCCACTTGAGTAATTGGGGAAAGCATAATTGTGCAGTATAAATAATGGGAGTGGGAGATTTGAAGAGGAAATAGGTAATTTTAGTATTAGAATGTTAGAGGTAAGTAATTGGAGATAGTAATAAATTATTTTATCTTAAAAATGTTCTGTCTCTCACTAGAGAAGACTGGTAAGTTGGTGTGTTGTCATCATGATTTGTGGCAACTCATCCCATAAATTAAGAGAATGAATTCCTTGCTTATTAACCAATATGAGAATCTGAAGAATTTTTTTTCCCCCTATTTAGGATTGGCAGCCTCCATTTGCATGTGAAGTCAAAAGCTTCCGTTTTACTCCCAGAGTCCAGCGCCTGAATGAGCTTGAGGTGAGTATTGTCTTATCACTGTTTTGTCTCCTGATTTCTTTTTCATGTCAGGACTTCAGGTGGAGACCTTTGAGAAACTCATGAACTGAGTCTCAGAGTTAATGTGAATTGTGACTGACTGGAAGGATGCTTCTGATTTTTAAAAAAGTTGTTTATAATAGAGTTTTTTCTACTTAACTGGGGTTATGGGGAACTATCTGCTTTCTTCGGTGCTTATTATTCCACTAAATTTTTTTATTGTCGTTAGTGTTGGAAGATTCTGTATCCTGTAGACTTGGGAAATAGTTCTAAAAATTCTATTAAAACCTAGTTTCAGAGGGTTTTTTTTCCCCTCTGACAGAACTTTTCTAGGACTCTTAATCTGATTTATTAAGATCTTTTTAAAAATATTAGTGATCTGTCTTAAATTTCCAACTTGAAATTTGTTTAAATAGTTGTTCCTTCCGCTTGCTAGATTTTCAGAGGATGCTTCAATGTGGATAAAAACTGTTCTAGAATACAAGAGAGATCTTAAAGATCGTTAAGGATTAACGTGTTACCCTGTTTGTTTTTTTTCTATGATGCTCATAAAACATAATTTTTTTCATTTTAATACCTATTGTTTTCCTTTAGTTTCTTATAATAAGATAGTTGATGAAGAGTCTCAATGTCAGTGAGTTAGAGAGTTGGTGTCCCTGAAGTGTGCGTATTATCTACAGATGAAATGTCAGGCATGGAATGCTTAGAAACAGAATAATTTGATTTATTAAATTTTCTGATTAGCTTAAAGTTAACTTTTACAAAAAATTGCTTTGTTTAGATGAGAACCTTTAACATAAATTAACTTTTTTGCCTTAATAAAGTTTAGCAAACCTAGTAAAGTTTGCTTTTTTTTTTAAAACTTATTTTATAAGGTTTGCCTAAGCAGTGCTGAAAAGTCTGAATTTTTTTTGAGAGATGAGTACCTCTGTTAAGTAAAACTCAATTTTTCAACCATAACTTAGTTCCTGTTTTTGACTTTTCTATTTTATTAAACTTAGGCTATGACCAGAGTGAGGTTGGACTTCTTGGATCAACTAGCAAAATTTTGGGAACTTCAGGGATCTACTCTCAAGATCCCTGTGGTGGAGAGAAAAATTCTGGATCTGTATGCTTTGAGCAAGGTGAGGCTTGTAGTTGGTTAAGACACTAGAACAGAGGCTAGAAAATTTGTGAAATTAGAATTTCAGATATACTTGATGGCAAACATTGCTTTCTAGGTAGGATTTGATTGACCATAGAGGAGGGGCTGCTGCTTATGAAGTACATCTTAATTAGCAAATATCTTGTGATAAGTTTGCTTGTCCTGGAGTTTATTGGAATTTCATCTTCAAGTTCCCATGGATGTCTCTTCCCTCTAACCTTTGAAAATGCTTATAAATCTGAGATTTAAAGCTGAAAGGCAGACATTTTGACTTGAGGTTATCTTGTTTGTAGTTTATAATACTTTTCTTCCTTAAATGTCATAGTGAGATTGCTGCTTCTCTCCACATGAACTTTTTCCTTTACATTGAGGCTTGAGGTAAAGTGTGATGCACAAGTCCTGAATGTCCAGATGAGTTGATCTTTCTATAGGAGTGTATAGTCGTGTCAGCACCACCCAGATCAAGACAGCGAGTGTTCCAAACACCCTTGTAGCTCCTTCCTCTCCCTCCCAGTCAGTACTTTTCCCCAAAGGTGACCATTGCTCTGCCCTCTGTCCCTTGGTGAATGTCTCACTAACAGGACATTTTACTTTCTAGCAAGAGGCAAAGGCTGAAAACTGCACAGAATACTGAGAGCTCTGATATTTTTAGGTTGTTCGGTATGCCCTTTACTTTGGGAAAAAAGTCATCTTTGGCTCACAACTGATGAACGTCTCTTGAATTTTTGTTATTTTAGACATGATTTTAACATACTTTGATTCCCACTGTTTTTTAATGGGAAGCAGGTTTTCAGTTTCCTGAGATGTTAAATTGTCAGTGTGATTGTTTCCTGTTTTGATTAAGTCACTTTGTCTTTTTCACTGGTTATTTTTGATTGTAAAAAGTGTTACTTGGAATGCCTATAATTCAGTGGAATTTTTACATAAACAGTTATGGTTTATCATCAGTGCAGCAAGGAACATTGATTCTAGTCATTTTTAAGAAAAATTTTTGTTAA